GAGAAACAAATAGCTTTTCTCTCATTACTGAGTTTGTTTCGTCAAATGATTAATCTGCTCAATCATAACAACTATAATAATAGCCGTTCTCGGTCAAAAATATTTAATGTTATGGTTATGATAACGCAATGTTGTGACTGAATTCGGTTAACAGAAGAGAATCCGATCATTGCAGTTATACAGGACAACAGAACCAAAGGAAACCAAATTAGACGAAAGCAAACAATTAGACCAATGATAGAAACATATAAGAGTGACTCACCTCCTCGCAGGAAACAATTTCTCCATTCGCCTTCTTCACTCTCCTCAACATACTCGTGAAATACCAGAAACGCGATTTTGCGATTACGTGATTAGTAGCAAATATTTGCATCTTGTACATCGGTGGATTTGGATCCTTATCAGATGGTAGCTTACGTCCAATCACCACGAATTCTCTCAACTGCAATTAGTCATTTTTATTCCGATTGGATCACTTTTGCACATATATTAACTAGAACGAAAAATCACACTCACGTTCCTAATGTTTGATTTAAGTTCATCAGAAATCAGAAACAATTAGTTGCCTAATTAAAAAGAGTACTGACCTGTGCTCCTTTGGCTTTGGTTGGCATGATGATCTCTTATGATACCTTTACCTGAAAAAATTCTAAACATAAGGGACTGATTAATTCACAAAATGGCTACGAAATGGTTCAACGGGAAATTGCAGTACACAAAAGCATAACATGAATTCACGAATAATATCTGAAACATTTGAAATTCATAATTGAACGAAACGATAGCAGGAAATAGCCTGACGAAACAACTGTTTTAAGTGGGAATCCACGAACCACAACAAATTGAAACAAAATGTTCCGTTCTCATTTCGAAAAACCTGGAGGATAAAATCAAAATAAATTCCCTCGGTCGGTGCAAACAAGTCGAATAAAACAATAACTTGGTGATAAAAAAGAGCTGCTGAAGTGAATGCTGGCTAGAAATGTTTGCAGAACTCAAAACCAAACGTAAATCAAATGAATCAGAACACATCACGAAATAAAATCGGAAATTAAGGGGAATTTAATCGCTTGCACCTATTCACAAAACATGCCTAAAGAATGCAAAGTTCACTTTCCTTGTAACTATAATTTTTATCCATTCTAAACGATATTCTATCGCAATTTCAAAAAAGAAACTAGAAAATCATTCAAATGACCAAAATTCCACTCTTACACGAACTTAAGACGTTTTTATAACGCCAAAACATCGCAAAATTGCCTTGAATTGACCCAAAACGTTGAGAAACGAGCAATTTATTGATGAAATGTAATGTTCAACACACACATCAATCGTCGGAAGATGTTCGTTCTCTTTCAACAGCCCAGTTTTTCGAATTCTCCGAAGCATTGCAGAAAGTGAAACTAGCCTCGCAATTAGCTAAAGATTCCGCGCGAGCATTGTACCCCTTTATGAATAATAATTTTGAAGTCTAGAATGCATTCGTAAGTAGGCAACTATTCAAGCGAAGTAATTTCCCTCAGTTCCAAACAGTTTCGTCTTCGTAATCTCACTCGGAAGTAGAGCAGTCATTCATCGAAAAAAAAGAAAACAATTCAGTTCACCTGATTTAAAAAGGACCGATTCAATCCACCTGATTTTATCCAACATTGTAAATATTAACGTGGACATTTTTTGGAACAAATCTATTGAGAACATATTCTTACTTTTTTTGAATGGGTGCTGTACCGTTAATGAAAGCATGTTAAATTCGAATTTGAGTTTACTTCTGGACTCTTAAACGAGAAATGGAAATAATTTTATAAGATGGTAATTTCACTGTTGCACACTTGATGAAGTAGATGATAATAATTCAAGGATTGATACGGAAAGTAATTTGCAGACTGACTACTGATGAATGGTATTGTTCGAACGGTGAATGAAATTGCCTTGTTCCGTCTTACGAGCGTATTTAACAAACAGCTATGGAGAAGTGCCTCAAACAGTGCCGTGAAAAAGAACCGTGTTGAGGATGACCGTTCCGAACGAAGTCTTCAACATATCGATGAACATTTTGAAGCTGTTCCCGCCGAAGAAAGGAACAAGAAATCGTTCAACGCAGCTATCGGTACTAATTCCCTTCTTGACTTAACCATAAACTATAATTTTTTACAACTGTAGAAGTATGAGTATGGAAAGAATATTTCACTTCTTCTTTTAACTGAGAATACTGATTTAAGGATAACATTCTTTGGAAAGGATTCTGTTGAATACACGTCAATTTTAATCTGTAATGTAAACGGACGATAACAACTTAAAAAAGCATTCGATTGGAATTCACGAACCAACACTTTTATTACTTCGTGCATAAATGAATCGAATTTCAGAGGTATTTCGTCAGAAGCGAACGCAAAGTCGTGGACATGTTGAGTTTATCAATTCAGCGTTGAAATATTTGGAAGAGTACGGTCTGCATAAGGATCTTGACACGTATAAATCTCTCCTGAACGTCTTCCCAAAAGGAGCGATGATTCCACAGAATAAGTTCCAGGTAGTAAATTCATGTTTTTAAAATTTGAATTTATCGTTTGGTTTTTCATGATCACGAAATTGTTCTTTTAATGGCGAGTTTATTTAAGAGATGTACTTCATTCCTTATAAATTTTCTTCGTTTTTAAGCGTCATATTTTCAGAAAATATTCCTCCATTATCCTATGCAACAGAATTGTTGTGTTAAAGTTCTGGATCAAATGGAATGGTTCGGTGAGTTCGCCCTTCATCCATCATATTCTTTTCATTTCCTTTTATTTCACTTTATCTTCTCACCTCGAATCATTCAGCTTCATTTTATTATTACGTAGTTTATATAAGTTGTTTGGAGGATCTTTGTGATTAAAATTGTTGACTTTTGAGTGTTTTGACTTCATCGACTCAAATGAAGAAATTAGATTTTATGAGTGTTTTTTGAACGATAGG